GTCTTATTACGCTTGTGAAATCTCACACGCACGGTGGCCGTCTCTCCTCCCCTCTCGAGACAAGCCAGCGGAGAATTGTCAGATAGGATTGACCGGGCAGGGGATCATCATGGGACAAGCCATATCCTGTCGCCTCTGGTTAACCCGCTGCAATAAGAACATTATTAGACCAGGAACTCGGTCCGTGGGCCCCCGACTCCTCAACGCTACTTGCTTGGCTACCTACTTGCTCTGTAGCTCTTCGCGCTTGTAGGCTTCTCGGCGGATAACCCTATTTTCTATGGTCCGACTACCTTGCATTGGCAATGGGTCCCATTGACTGGGCCTAAGAATCGCACAAAAACCGACCGTGAGCCGCCAATCAGCCTCAAGAGGCTGATTCCTGTTGTGTTTTTCTTCTGACTCCGTCGTTTGAGCCCGCGACTTTGGTCGGGTTCAGCAACTTCAGCTTCGCCAGAACCCGTCACTCAAGTCGTGGAACTTTGCGATTTGCTGCGGGCTGCCGTTCCATCTCGATAACCACCGACGACACGACTGCATGCTGTATCACGAAAGGTTCTAATATCTCTGGTTATCAGGTATCACACTGTTCCAGCGGCGTCTGTTTCACGTCGGCTCTTCTCCGCCTGGCTGGATCTCGGTTCCATTCTTGTTTCGAACTTGCTGGCTGGCTTCTCAGTCTCGTGTTCATTCCCTGAGCCCAGCGAACGACTTTTCTCTTTGGACTTTTTCCTCCCCCTCATCAGTTTGAGACCAACTACCGAGTTACTCCCCCCTTCGTCTTTCTACGTCTTGTACTGGGGCACGGAGAAATCGAGATTGCTACCCATCTTCGTCTAATTACTTCTGGATTGATCGTTGGAAAGAACCACGAGGCTCTATTGTTATCATTTTAATTCCATCTCGTCTCGATATCCCAGATCGCGCCGGGATTTTACTGCAAAAACACCCCTTACCGCCGATATACCACCTACATCTTCGAGTTCCGAATCTCAATTACCAGGAAGAGCACCACTCTTCCGCATCCGTTTCGAGCTTTCACGGGATCTTGTGGCTTACAGTAGCCCATCTGGATGACCGAAACTCGGAATCCTGCTTTTTTGAAACCGGTCACCATCGGTAGTGGCCCAGCTAAGCATTTGAAGGAATATCTCATCCATGACATTTATAACACAACCTTCTAATCCGACGCCGCCCCTCCACCCCGGGCCTCCTCAAGCCTATTCCAACTCGGCCCGCTGTGCCTTCGACTTCAATTGGAGCCGTAAGGAGCTCCTCCCAGAGGAGTCGGCTGTACGGAGTAGGGCATATCCCTCGCCTCCTATGTCCGGCTCTCCGCCTTTGCCTCTGAGGTCGGCTCATGAGGCCGGTGGTCGAGGCGAGGCTCCGAATTTCTACGTCACCTCTAGACTTATCGATGGCCTTCGTGGAGGTCCGACACAACCATCGCCAGCAAATATTCGGGAACAAATTTCGCCAATAGCGAGACCATACCCGCAAGAACCAACGACAAGGTCGCCCTATTCATACCCAAGGCCGGACGAATCGGGGAGAATTGTCCCTTATCCTCCTCAGCATCACCATGGAATGCCCCAAGGAGTTTCACCAGCGCCGTATCTGAACTCAGCATCGTCGAACTCGGAAGCATATCCTGTGCCTGATCGATCACAGGCAGTCGAATCGCAGCCGTTTACATCTCCAAAGTCCCAGAGAAAGACAAAGGGCCATGTTGCCTCTGCTTGCGTACCTTGCAAGAAAGCTCATCTTCGGTAAGTCATCGGTGACTGAAACAGGCGTGCAAGGGTTCAGCAAGCGCAATTACTAATACTCTTTTCCCTTAGATGCGATGGTACGTTGTATTTGTATTTGATTTTGTCCGTTTGAAAAACTACGTAATTCGCCGGTATCATTGCCCTGCGGAGCTGTTTCTCTCAGGGATCACTTATCCCATTTGAAATCCACCAGTGTCATGGATAAAGTGTACAAAACTTTTTAAATCCTCTGGTGGTGGAAGAATACAACCCCCCTTTAACCTTTTGACACCATATAATTATGCGAAAGGGGGGCTCCGCATAGAGGACGGAAGATACAATGAATTTCTAAGCTGACTGATCTATAGCACAACGACCCTGTTCTCGATGTCTTGGTAATGGGAAAGAAGATGCTTGTGTCGACGTTCAGCATAAGAAAAGAGGTCGGCCACGATTACGAGACGAAAGAGATGCCAGATTCGACCCCACGAGATATTCCCATCCCCAGGATGCGGCCCTCAGGAGGCCATTAAGTATACACCCCTCAGGCATTGCAGGACTTTCGCCATACGAAGACCCTCTCCGACGAAGTCAATCCTACCGGGCTCTCGAACCGCCGTCGAATGATGCCACATCGCGCGAATATCAAGAGAGATCCATGGCTCCAGATCCAAATATCTATAATTCATCGTATCCAGGCACACCGCATGCTATGGAGCCTCTGGCGTATCTGAGTATGGAGTTTGATATTGTTAAGGCATCTCCAATGTTCATGGACATAGTCCACGCATCGAGCCCAATAGGGAATAGACTAAGCGACATCGTTACACCACATCAGGCAAATTTCCTTACCAGCCTTCAGAACCAACTTTTTGAAGAACAACGATTACACGAGCCGAATTATCTGCCTCCTATGCTCGGCAGGCTAGATTTAGCAATCAAGGATTTTGGATTCACGAGTGAAGATGTCGCAAGATTTCGCCTTAACCATCTCGAATATTTCAGCTTCGTTGGATATGATGGCTACACAAGGACTTTCCCGCTTCGTTTTGGGCTCGCAAAAGAGGGTTCGTTCTACTTTGTCGTGTTTCTGTTGAGCCTTCAACAGCACCCTCCACAGTTACCGCCTCCGCTACCATCGCATGCACAGCAGCATGCACAGTATGCCCACCATCCACAGCATTCTCAGCAATCTCAGCAATCTCAGCCTGCTCAACATGCGCAGCAACCTCCATATGCGCAGCACTCACAGCATTCACAACACGCGCGAGAACCTGGTACGGCTTATCATCATCCGCCCCCATCCCATCAGGCGGCGTATGGAGATCAGTCGAGTTCTTCCTCGGTTGATTCTTATCGACATCGGCTTAGTGATGGCTCTAATCGATCGCCACACAATCCGGCTCCCTCGAGTACAGGTACCAGCTCGGGAATGCCAACTTATGCGCAGTCACAATTCTCTGGGCCTAGTTATCAGACATCTCAAAATGACCACAACCCTACTAGCCGACCTGCAACTCAACCCTCCTATCACTTACCTCCTATTCGGGCACAGCCGGATCACAGACCCTCGTCTCGAGAAGTCGGTTGGTCCAATGGTGAACGACCAAGACGAGTTGATATTGGAGGCCTGCTAGAGCAGCCCGCCGATTCTGGTAGGCGGTAGTGATGAGAAAGAATGGCCTGAAACCTTGAGGCTATACCGGGCAAAGGGCCATTGTTACAAGTACCAGCTTGGAGCTTTTCTATTCCTTGAGGATTTATCCGCTGGCGCTGGCGCTTCAGGGGGGATGCTTGACTTCCATTACAAAAGTATGGAATAAGCACACTGATTTTCAACACCTGAGCGACATTGGGTTGATGTTTGCTAGCATCGAAAATTACGGACGATGCCAAATTGGCTGAACTTTTGTATCTTGGCGACAGTGTACCAGTAGAGATGCTCACAGTCTGCGTTTCTTTCAGAGCGTTTGTTGTTCCCTATATGATCTCTTGTTTTTTTTGTGTGCGTTTTCTTTCCTAATTTCCTTTTTTTTTTTTTTTTTACCTTACTCGGCTCAACGGCAAAAGCGGACGGACAGGGAGCGGTATCATATAGCAGGGAGATTCGAGGGGGCAATTGATTTAAACGCTCAAGCGGTGCTACATTTTGAAATCAAGGGTTACGGAGTTTTAAACGCAAAGAGTTGATTTGTGTCCTGTCTTTTTTGCTTTTTTTTTTTTTGCTTTTATGGTCCATTTTATGCAGGAACAGTTGAGCGCTTTGCAAAATCATGGCAGAAGCGGCGGCATCTGTGGGATAGGGAGGGTATGGATAAGGTATTCATGGAAATTGCTTTGACCCATCTGAATTATCACTTTGTTTTGCTCATTGGATTACTCTACTTACTCGTGCCTGTTTGCCTGTTTGCCTGTTACAATGATTGCGCTTCGGAGCTATGGCTACTACCTACCTACTGGGTACCCAGACATTGGTGGCCAACGTACTACGTACCCATGTACCTCCAGCTACTACCTGTAATCATTAGCAGTATACAATCACGTCAAGCAGGCCCGATCTTTTCACCCTAATCTCAACAAGCCTACCATGGATATTACCACGAAATGCTGCTGTAATAATTGCAGTGCGAAGGCTACAAACTGCATATAGTAGGTACTAAGGTACTTGGTAGGTATATGGCCAACCTGCGGATTTGCTCTTGGATGTAGCTGCCATTTACAAGTGGAGTGAATCTCCCGTAGTCCGGTCTACATCGACGTCATTTTCATTCAAGACCATCACTTTGGGCATTCCTTCCTTTCAACAACACAAGAACCGAGCCTTCACCGTATTCTCGGAATACATGGAGTCCGTACCTATGATACCACATGATCGCACCTACCTCAATGCAGCAGGTCTGGGAGCCGCGTAATGAAGTAACCTGCCAAACTCTATTCCAAGGTCACGTGCAGACGTGGGAACCTCGCGTACACTTACCCAAATCGTCATGCTCTTTCCACCGCCCGCCCTCCTTCCCAATGATCGAACAAGTTATTCTGAGGGGGTGAAAAATCTTCCCGACATTCTTTTCTTTGTCTGAATTCATGATTTGTGTGCTGCAGTAGGCTCTTCTAATTCTGTACCGGGGATTTGTCTTTCATCTTGGCGTTATTTCTGACGGTTGATGATTTGATTCGTGACATACTCGGGCGTTATTTGATTGCAATTTGCTGCTACAATTGCTGGAATAGAGGCGAAGACAGGTGACCATGGACGAAATGGATATTGACAGCGCCCCAGGCGGGACCAAAAGAAAGGCGGAGGATGAAATCGAGGCTCCGAAGCCAGCACAGAGGATCAGGGTAAGGCGTTTATCCCACTCTTCCACTCCCTTTCTGTTGGGCTTGAGAGCGGCAGAATGATTTTGGAACCATGACCATCAACTGACTTTCGCTCGTTACTAGGCTCTTGATCCCGATGTTGTGAACAAGATTGCAGCCGGGGAGATTATTGTTGCCCCTGTTCACGCGCTCAAAGAACTGGTTGAGAACGCTGTGGATGCAGGCTCGACATCGTTGGAAATTCTTGTCAAAGACGGGGGTCTTAAGCTGCTTCAAATCACCGACAACGGCAGTGGCATTGAGGTATTACAGCTATTTCACCTACCATCCCGCACTACCGCAGCTGACATTTTTCTCTAATAGAAAGAAGACTTGGAAATTCTATGCGTGAGGCATACGACATCCAAAATCTCTACATTTGAAGACCTGTCGTCCATTGCTACATATGGGTTTCGCGGCGAGGCTTTGGCCAGCATCAGCCATATTGCCCATCTTGAAGTCACGACAAGAACCAAAGAAACACCTTACGCCTGGCGCGCCAACTATCGAGACGGAAAGCCAGTTCCTGGGAATGGCGAGATATCTGCGGAACCCAGAATGGTTGCCGGCCGTCCGGGCACCCAAGTTACAGTGGAGGACTTGTTCTTCAATGTGCCAACACGTCGAAGAGCGTTTCGAAATTATGCCGATGAATTCCACAAGATCATCGACATGACATGGCGCTATGCAATTCACTGCAAAGGTGTTGGTTTCAGTTGTAGGAAGTTTGGGGAATTGCCTACAATCTCCGTAAAAGCGGAACAAACAGTGGAAGAACGTATCCGCTATATCTATGGCGGCAGTCTCGCCAATGAGATGATTGAAATATTTGTCTCTGACGATCGATGGGGATTCTCGGCCAATGGCTACGTCACAAATGCCAATCATCACACCAAGAAGACAACGTTCATCTTGTTCATCAATCACCGCTGTGTTGAATCGTCAACCATGAAAAAGGCGCTTGAGCAGATATATACTAGCTTCTTGCCCAAGGGTGGTCGCCCTTTCATCTACCTCAGCCTTGAAATTGACCCAGCCCGAGTGGATGTCAATGTCCACCCTACCAAACGGGAGGTCCATTTCCTCAATGAAGAAGAGGTTATCCAAGCTATCTGCGAGACAGTCGAGTCGGAGCTCACTGCTGTGGATGCGAGTCGGACATTTCCGACACAGGCACTGTTTCCAGGAGCCAAACCAGTTGGGCCTTTGGACGAAGATGATGGCGATGCCGCCCCCAAATTCACGACACCGGCTCTTAAGAAGATACGGCGAAATTCAAATGACCTTGTCCGAACGGACCAATCTCAGGGCAAGATTACAGCCATGTTCTCGCCTGCCGGCCCCGCCGATAAAGCAGACTCTCCTGCTAGAGCATTGGAAGATGAACCATGGGCAGTCCCGGAACCGATAGAATACACGAAGGTAGACCGCGAGGAGATGCACTGCCGGCTCGCAAGCATCAAGGAGCTACGCCATGAGGTTCGAGAGGAGATCAACGAAGAGTTGACAGAGATAATCGCCTCTCACTCGTTTGTCGGTGTCGTCGACGAGAAGCGACGGCTTGTCGCTATCCAGGCAGGCGTGAAACTATATCTGATCGACTATGGCCACGCCTGCTTTGATTACTTTTACCAGATTGGTTTGAGTGACTTTGGAAACTTTGGCCTGATCAAGTTCAGTCCGCCTATGGATATCAGAGATCTTCTCCAGATAGGAGCAGAAGCGGAGAAAGCGGCCTTAGGAATACCCAAGGACGACAACAATTTCGATGTCATCGTTTCAAGGGTAGCGAATCGACTCATAGAGTGGAGGGAGATGCTCCAAGAGTATTTTTCTCTCGAAATCACTCCTACTGGAGAGTTGGTTTCCATCCCTCTTCTTGTCAAGGGATATACCCCGTGTCTCGGAAGACTTCCCCGATTTCTTCTTCGCCTCGGGCCCCATGTCAACTGGCACGTTGAAAAGCTGTGCTTCCAAACGTTCCTCTCGGAGCTGGCGTCGTTTTATGTCCCCGAATCATTGCCCACGTCACGCACGGGGGAGATTGAAGAAACAGAGGGCTTGGATCCAGTGGAGTTGGAGGAAGTGATGGATGCTGAGGCTATTCAGGACGTGAGAGTGCGGAGACAGCACATTCGATGGAATCTTGAGCATGTCTTCTTCCCGGCCTTTAAATCGCGGCTGGTTGCGACGGACGATCTCATGGAGAACGGCGTGTTAGAGGTGGCGAACTTGAAGGGGCTCTATAAGGTGTTTGAGCGGTGTTAATGATGGGACAGGAGGTTTTTTTTTTTTTTTTTTTTATCTTTGGAGGGGTGGGGGGGGGGGGGGGG